TCAGGCAGCTTCTCCGTATAGGCCTCACTAAACCCAAGATTTTTGGCACACTGCCTCAATTGAGCAGCATGCTCCCTCTCATCCTTGTCTGGGCTAGAATATTGGGAACTCTCTCCTTCTCCAACTTCACAGTTCCAGTCAGTCTCCGCCACTGACTCCCAGTCTCCTATCCTCTCCTCTATAGCTCATAGAAATGTTCGAATCTTGGTGACCCCACATCAATGACCCCCTGCCCCTCCTCACCTGAGGAACTTGCAGACTCTGACCCCTGGGTCCTATTGGTCTCCGAAATTTGCATTACAGCCAACTGGTTACTCGCTGTGATTTCTGTTCTGGTGCTAGGCTGGTGTCCATCCCTGGCAGATTGGATGCCTTGAACGGTGGAGATGCATGTCTCTGTGGTCTGGAAGAATGTCGTTCGGTATATATCACTAGTTTCGGCCCCCCGTAACTCTATCATGCTGCTGTCTCCCTCAAGAGCTGTAGTAGTAGTTGTAGTAGTAGTGGTTGGCCTCTTTGTACAGTAGCCTGTCTCTTAACTGACTTCCTAGCACCAGAGAGGGTTAATCAGCACACAGTCTCTAAGATCCTTTAGGGATGTCTGTACTCAAAAGGCCCAAGAGCAACTGGATGCCCTCCTCTGTGATACTAGACCAGGCTCTCAGGTTGCCAATGGCAGTAGATGCCTGGTAGGGTAACTTGTCCTCTCCCAGGCTGGATCAGTCCTGAACAGGAAAGAGCCCAGAGTCCCGTGTGCTCACTAAATATATACAGTTACCCAGCATGCCTTAGAGCCCTTCTCTCTAGGATAGGCTGAGGCTATATCAATATTGGTGCTGCTATCTGCACACTTATCGTCCAGAAACCTCTAACTTTTCCTGGGTACAGAGGAAGCTATGCAGACTAGCAGCAACTGAGCACACAGAGCAGACCTAAGTAAAGGATCACAGATCACCAAGTAAAGTGTGCTAACTATGCTTTTTCCTAACAAATATTTACAGTAATATGTACTATAGAAAAAAACAGTCTTTAACAGAAAATTGTGTGCATTGCAACTCCTTGACTAATCTCAGGCATAACTCTCTCCAAAGGTGAATTTCAAGTGTAAACGTCAGTTATAATGTAACAAGGCTCAGACAGGTACCTTACTGGCTCTGCAATTGTAAGTCTCGTAGAACTCCAGTTGGATTAATCTCTCGCATTAAGAAAAAGGTTCAGGCTGTCCCCAGCCAGAGAAGATGGGGGTCTCAACACAGCTATGAGCACAAAACTGGTCAATCCTCAGCTGCACCTTGATGGTGGCTCCAACCAGGAGGATGCCTCAGAGGTTATTTTAAAAAAAAGTGTGACTAACCCCCCCCCCCCCCCACCACCACCACCATGATTCGTAGCTTGGCTGGGTATAACATAGCCTTCAAACCTTGGTGTTGTTTCTTAACCTTGAGGAATTTTGCCCTCTTATGTTGGACTTGGGCAGAGAAGTCAGGGTACAATGATATTTTGGCCCATTATATTGAATGTTTTGGCAGTCTCGTGCCAAATGCAGGATAATCTCCTGGTCCTTATAGTTCTGGAATCAAGCTAGCATGGGTCTAGTGGGGTGACTCAGTTGCAGAGGGTCAAATGGCAGTCTGTGGGCCTGCTCCATTTTGTGGGCTTGCTCCACTGTGTATAGAGGGGTGAACGAATCGTAACAGCTAATTTTCTAAAAAAATCCATCGAGTCTCTCTCCTCCACTTTTTCCAGAAGCCCCAACTTATTGTGTTACAATCTAATTTCTATATTGTCTGCCTGCACGCTGCTTGCTTTGATTTGTTGTGCTGTTGACTGCAATTCCTTGAGGAGGGAAGGTAGCTTGTCTTCCAGCGCTCCCTTAGTTTTTGGAAGTCTTGCTGCAGCAGGGCAGCCTCCTCTCTCAGAAAGATCAGAAATCTTTTAGAACATTGACTGAGGCTGCACATTTATTAACAGTTCACAGTATTTCAGCTAGAAATATGTCTTCTCCTTAATGCCCTCCTCACCTTGCAGAGAAGGACATTTCTGGACTGAATCTGTTATGGCTGCCTGATCGGTTGAAGCTGCCTCCTGGTCACTATCATTAACATCCAGTTGTGTTTCAATGTCCTCCCCAGGTGAATGTGACTGCGAGCCTGCCAACTTCTGTGCATAAAACAGCAATCTCTTGCCAGCTCTTTCTGTCAGTTGTCTGCTCTTCTTACTCACTGAATCCTTGGTTTTATCAGCACCTCAGCTCCTCATGGCGCTCTCTGAGGCAAGGCGCCATGTTGAAGCTCCATCCAGGCTCCCTCCACCACTTTTGTGCCAGTCATCATCAGGTCAGTGCTGTGGGAGGATCCGAGTGTCAGCAGGGGTGAGTAAAGCTGCTCAAGTGGGTGTAACAGCTGTGAAAAAGGATCGCTGTAGGATTATCTGCAGAAGCTCTGTGAAAAGCGTCTGCTTCACATCCCATGGCCACACCCCATAAAATAAGGTTTAACAAAAATACTGAAAAAAATTAAAGTTACAGCAATATACTTAACCCCTCCCGCCCCAACATTTTTTAGCCCCCCCCCCCTTTTGATAAACCGTTGCACTAATATTTTTATACATAAAGCACTGGAACTACCACTATTGTTATTCTCCAGGATGTCTGCTTTCAGAAAATATTTAATGTTGTGGGGGATTTAAGTAATCTTCAGTTCTAAAATAATATTTTAAACTTGCATGCAAAAAATGCAAAAGCGGCTCTGGCAACGAAAAGACTGATACCATGAGAAAAGTTGATCCTAACAGAAAATAGCCTAAGAATATTCAACCAGAAGAGGAAATAGCCAAAGAATAAAAGAATAGAAAATACTTTAAAGCATGAGTTTCTGCCCCATTCACACGACAGCCACAGCTGTTCCTGAAACGAATGCGCTAATTTTTTTATAAGTAGACATGACACTTTACAAAACGTTGCTATTTTACTGGAATACTGATACTCTCAAACAAAATGTGATTTGTATGTTAATCTTTGACACTAAAAACCTCAAGTTGGGTTTCAATGGTCCAAGAAAATGTTACTGCACCAGTTATATATGTTATCACAAGGCAAAGCTCAAATTCTGAAAAACCTGAAATGCTTGTAAAAGTTTCCTTTTCCTTCCCGTAAACGACAAAACTGCACCCAACATAAATACCAGCTAGCAAAATTCACAAACCAGTGTTAAAGGGTAAGTTTGCCTTTCAAGAAAAAATAATAAATGCACATGAGCATTTATTATTTTTTCCTGCAGGAGCCTGGAAAGCATTGCACCCATGATCAGTGAATCGGGTGCAATGTCAGATTTTTGAAGACAAGCCCTGCAGCTTTCTGCCCTCACCTTCATACGAGCTGTCTGTTGAAAGCTGCAGAACATGTTAATGAACTACAAGAGCACTCATCAGTGCCCTCATAGTTCATTCAAAGCTAAAAGCTTTCAGCCACAATGGCTGGCAATAGTTGTAGTCTATTTATTTACAGGAAACTGAGAATAAATGATTGTGACAGTGGGTGCGAGGAGAAGTGCCCTCACCCACTGTCACACTGATGGGGAGTGAGGGGGAACTGGAGGCAGGAGTTGGAACATGTTACATGTTCCACCCTAAATATGGGTTCCTCAATACTAGGCTCAATGGGAGGAGTGAAATGGTTTGGGGAGTGGAATGGGTGGAGCCCAGTTTCAGGCTGTTATACACCTTCCTATGAGGTTTTGCAGAGATGTGCAACTTCCAGGACTTTTTCCTTAGATGTCTACAGCTGGGACGAGCTCTGTCTGCAGTCCAAGTGGTTGCTACGCAGGAGGACCCGGTGGAGCCCTGAGGGGCTCCTGTCAATTTAGTTTTGGTCACATGTTCCAAAAGGTGAACATAGCCTTTAAAAGAGAATAATCCTCTTTGGCATACAGAAGCTCAAATAAGATTAAAGGAAAATCCTTTTCTACATATAAAGGAAGATAGACTTGAAATAAGTCAAGGATTTTGTAAAACATGATCAATCTATATTTACTGTGATGAGATATAGTCCTGATACGGACACCCTAAGAGCCCATGTTGCACCAGTGCATTGTGGTAATATGTATTTCTGCAAAGCCCAGATTATTCCATTACAGTTTTATTTAATTTCAACGGCACCCCACGGCAACACACCTCCAATGTACATTATTTTTATTAATATTATTATACAGGATTTATATAACGCCAACAGTTTGCACAGAGCGTTACAACATAAAGGGTAACAGTACAATTACAGTACAGTTCAATAAAGAAGGAATAGGAGGGCCCTGTTCACGGAGCTTACAATCTATAGATAGGGGGAGGTGGTACAAGAGGTAATAGCTGAAGGGGATGATACTAGATTGTAAACTCTAATGAGCCGGGCCCTCTGATTCCTCTTGTACCAAATTGTATTGTAACTGTAATGTCTACCTTCATTTTGTAAAGCTCTGTGCAAACTGTCGGTGCTATATAAATCCTGTATAATAATAATCTGATGGAAGCAGGGGCGGACTGACAACTCATGGGGCCACCGGGCAATAGGGGATCATGGGGTCCCTGTGTCCTTGCCCAAACTCAAAAAAGCCTATGAAAAAGGTACCAGGGGCATCTCATGGGGCCCCCTACTGACTCCGGGCACTCGGGCGGTCCCTGAGTTTCCAAATGGTCAGTCCACCCCTGGATGGAAGTGATCCAACTACAGTTTTTAGGTGGAAGTGGGGTAGGCTTGCTTGAATAAATGAGTTTTCAAGGAATGAACTGAATTGCAGTGCACTACAATGCACACAAATGCACTACCATACTTGTTGTACCCTGCTTCAGAAAAATCCTGCATGACAGTTTTTTTTGTCCATTGGTAGGCCACTCATTTAAATGTGCTACTTTACCATAACACATTAGTGTGTATGCATTAAGGTAATGCACCAGAATGGTAAAGAGTACTGGGATTGTACAGCCAGAATGTACATGTGCTCTTTTCACAGAACAGTTCTATCCAGGGGTGGACTGACAACTCATGGGGCCCCCGGGCAATAGGGGATCATGGGGCCCCTGTGTCCTTGCCCAAACTCAAAAAAGCCTATGAAAAAGGTACCAGGGGCATCTCATGGGGTCCCCTACTGACCCCGGACCCTCGGGCGGTGCCCGAGTTTCCAAATGGTCAGTCCGCCCCTGGTTCTATCACTCTAGCACTTAAGCAATTAACTAATTATTCTCTATCTGATTCAGCCCTCCTCAGATGAGGATTCTCCAAAAGAACTGTAAAAACACACAGAAGGGCAGAAACGTCTAGTGCATTACCACCACTAATGTTTATTAGGTTTAAAAGCCAAAAACATACTCACAAACATGAGGAGGAGTAAGCGCATCAAACACCACTCCAGCCAAAGGCGATGTCATCTAACCATGTATGCTAGGTGGAAGGCTAATGCATTTTGGGAAACATACACCTTTCTCAAAGCATTAATATGCCTATTGAGGTAGGGGGGGTGTCCCCCAAAACACGTTGGCCTTCCAACTGCAGCATACATGGTTAGATTACATCGCTTTTGCCTGGAGTTGTGTTTGATGTGTGTCACGGAGACCCTGACTTGGGCTCCAGGAGGGGCCTGGGGGCCAGCTTCCTTCCCACTGACTATGGACCCAGGGCAAAGGAGACACCCCTCTTGGGTTTACAAGGAACCTTTTCCCCAAGATGGTTATATCACTTCCCTGGTAAGAAACTTTATTTTCTGTTATAGGTTTCCTGGCATCAACTATTGTTTGCTGTAATTAGGCGTAGGTAATAAGCTATCACTTTATTTAATCACCTCCAGAATCAAGGCTGCTAGGTGTTGGGCAAGAATCCATTGTTTTCTTGTGTTTGATGGTGTATTTGTTTATGTAATGTACTTTTCTCCTGGGACTAGTAATGTGGGCCATACTTGTCTAGGGGGAAGGGTTTTGCATATAAATGCTGTGCTGTTTGTTAATCCTAATTTGTTAATCAGTCCAGTTTTACTCCATTGGTTGTCTGATGCTTGGGGGAAATGTGCTATATTTTGGTTCCAGAGTGGAGGCAGTTGTAGTTTGGTGGAGCTACCCAGTCAGGGTGTCAGGCAGTCCATCACAATATGCTTATTCCTTCTCATGTTTGTGAGTATGTTTTTGGCTATTGAATCTAATAAACATTGGTGGTGGTGGTGGTAATGCACTAGGTAATCGCCCTCCTGTGTGTTTTTACAGTACATATGTTCATTTGTATTTCTTCTCAAAAACTTGGACTTTACTTCTTTCTTTTTTTTTCCTTTTTTTTTATAAGCTGTATGTTCCCCTGTATGATCTTTACACTGGAGCAAGTCCAGAGAAGGGCAACAAAGCTAATAAAGAGGTTGGAGGACTTCAGTTTTGATTCAACGAATACAAACATTAAATTTATTCTCCCTGGAGAAGGGTTTAAGAGAGGAAATGATCACTATATGCAAAACTTTCAATGGTGACTGTAGCATTAGGAGGAAACTATTTAACCCAAGGTCTATAAAGAAGACACGTGGCCACACTATGAAGTTGGACCAGAAGCAGTTACATTTTTACTGCATAAGGGATAAGTGGTTAGAACAGGTAAGACGTAAATGTGGTAAGGATGTGGAATTTTATAAGGATGTGGAACTCTATATGTTTTGAAGACCCGGTCAAGTGTGCAGGTCTTGCTTGTTTGCTAGTGTAGTGCTACCTTTGTGAGGGCCACTGTATTTCTAGGTACCCCTAAGCTCTGCACATCCAGGCAACATGCATTTTTCACACTTTCATCCACAGTCAGTGAAAAGTCCATGAGCTTGGTTTTTGTTATTTTATTTGGGAAATATAACTTGGATAGGGAAATTGGGATTATGGGATGCCCAACTTGACTGAATCAAGGTAGAGGGACATCTTCTTTCCTATTTACAGAAACAGATCCTGTACTGTTCTTCTCCTTGAAAGCAGTCTTTATGGATCAGTAGCAACAGCCCCTTACAGGCAAGAGACTCGCAGCCCCCCCTCTGAAAATCAACTTGACTTGTAACTATATATGCAGAGATTTCTTTTCTCCCCTGTAGAATGGCTCCCACTACCAGTCCTCCTGGCTACTCTGTAGATCTCCCAGGACAAGGATAAAGGCTTAAGCACAGCGCTGTCCTTTGGAAGTTTGCTACATGTGGCTTTCTTTCCCTTTGTGAATCCCAGGGTCTGTGCTGATGTGCTCACTCTGTCCTCCTTGCTCTCACTGCTCCCAGACCTTGATCCTGATCATGCCATACTGCTGAATTGATCTTCCTGAGCCAGCTCGAGCGCAGCCTGGAGGTCAGCTCCCCCCCACCCCAGATCTAAGGGACTCCTCCCAGGCCACCAACAGTCTCCTCAGCACTCCATCTGCCACACAACTCCCACGGCCAGCCTGACTATGCCATATTTATAGGCTACTCCACCACTCTACCAGGACATCCAAACCTGGGACTGGTTAGACTCCCATAAACATGTAGATTGTGTCTCCACCTCTTCCGCCTACTGGCTTCTGGAAGGTTCCCATGGTCCTCCAGAACCAAGTGGAGGTGATAGATTCCTAACCTGTTAATCCATCCAGATCTGCAGTAACCCGGCCTAATCACAGACTTACACAGTTATCACGAGTCATACACAATATATTTGCCTACACCATGCTAGTAGCACACTAGAGGATCCTACACACGATTGGGAAATTGAAGTGCACACAATTATGCTTTTTTATTTACATTCTGTTCAAAGCTAGGGCACTTAAAATAAGGTTTCGAAATTTTTATGCAAAGTTATGTCATCTTTATAAAATTACTAAACAAATCTAACTTTTAAAATGTGACCACACTTGAAAAGCATAGCTAATGGCTACAGTCATTGATGTCAGAATTAGTTGTCTCAGGGGCAGTATGCAAATATGACATGAAGGATTTGCAAACAATGTCATATTCTATATCAGGTATTTAGAAGTTATCTAGGTTTACATTACATGTATGTTCAGCCTTTTAAAAGCTGTTCAACAGCATATTGATAAAGGAAACCTGTCTGAGAAAAAAATATGGAGGATACCATTTTGGTTCTAATACCAATAATGTGCCACACTCCTGCTATTCTACAATGTGTTTGTAGTAATAAATAAAAAAAAAAATAAAATAAAATAAAAATCTAGAGATCAATCAAAATACATCACTCAAAATATATGCATGCACATATACAAATGTAAAAAAATTTAAAAATAAAAATCAAATTTGCAGACTCAGAGCTATCACTCATATAGTATACATACTCAAAAATATTCCTCTTCTCTCCTCCCCCAGAAACTACATAAAAGATAACTTGGAAAGTGATCAGATCGGTTTGTTAAGTTAAAAATTTAGTTTTGTTGCATTCGTAACGAAATTCGTTTCATTTAGATTTATTTTGTTCATTCGTTTACGACGGGATTCATATTTTTCCAATGAATTCGAAGTGTTCAAATTGAATCAAATCTGAATTCATTGAGAAAAATAGCTCATTCTATTTTATTTGAATTTCAAAACATGACAATATACTTTATATTTTATTCTAAACTATTCTAATCGAATTTAGAATTTCAGAAGATGACTGTATTCTTTCTTATTCTATTGTATTATTTTTTTCTATTCTATTTTATTCTTTTCTATTCTATGCCTTTATTTTCTATTCTATTCTATGCCTTTATGTACTATTCTATTGTATTCTGTTTAACTCTATTTTTTTCTATTCTATTTTCTTCAGTTCTGTTTTATCCGATTCTATTATTTTTGCAATTCGAATTTCGGAAGATGGCTACATTCTTGTTATTTTATTCTATTCTATTCTATTCAAAATTTAAAATACGGCTATATTCTTTCGATTTTATTTCATTCTATTCGAAATTTGAATTTTGGAAGATAGCTATATTCATTCAATTGTATTTTTTTCTATTATATTCTATTAATTTCTATGCTATTCCTTTTCTATTTTTTTTTATTCTTTTCTATTCTTTCGAATTTCTGAAGACAGCTACATTCTTTCTATTCTGTTCTATTCTTTTTATTTTCTATTCTATTCTTTTCTTTTCTATTTTATTCTATTAAACCTAAAACCAAAAATGTAATACAATGCAGCTTACCAATGATTAGATGTGGTGGCTGCATCAGTTTTTCTTTACTGTGGCTTTTTTCCCTCTGTTTTTGCCTGGTGATCTAGCCAGTAACACACCTCCAGTATAAGTGAGACACCACTTTCGAGGAATAAGCCAGGACACAGCAGACAGCTGCACTGTCAGTCGGGGAGGGGGGGTGTTAAAAGTACTAGCAGATTTGGATACTTATAACGAATTGAAGCCAAATTCCAGCTAACACTTTATAATCAGTTACAGCAAAAACCAAATGTTCTTTTGGGATGAGGGATTTACATAAATGAATAAAAGCTGATAATTTTAATCACATCTGTCAGTGGTAAATGTATGGTTTCATTTATGTAATCAGATACATTCTACTTCTGAAAAACTTCTGAAAAACAGCTTGCTGGATGCTGGATGAATTACCAGATGAAAATAGAAGAAAGAAAGAAAAAAAAAAAAAATGGAAAGTAATGAAGCCACCACATCTAAGAATTGGTAAGCTCCAATATAATAAATGTTTGCTTTTGTCTTTAATACTACTTTAAGTTGGTGCCCAGCTCAATGATGGTACTGTGACGGGAGTCATTTTGGGTGGGGGGCCCACGGAACCCAGCTCACTTTGGAGAGGTGGGGAGACCCCTGTCTCAGCTCCCCATATCCCTCTTATATGTAAATCACCCTGTGCCTGTTAGGGGTACAGGGTGATCTGTCCTAATATTGGGATGGGTGGCTGTTGATTGTTTAATGTCATGTGACTGCATCCCATTGTTCTATTGTCTGCCTGGCTTGTGAGCAAATTATTATGGGATGTATGTGTTTATGTGTATTAGCTTAGTGTGTGTGGGGGGGGGGGGGGGTCTCCAGCAGCCCTCCCTCCTGATGGGACTGTCTGCTGGTGTGAAGGTTGAATAATGAAAAATAGTAAACAAAATAACTATTCCAGACATTTTGAGAGAAATAGAGAGATCAGAAGCAGAGAAAGCAGTATTTGTTAATTAGCTGTCTTTTTTTTGTGGTGTGTGGATGTGTTCCAGCTCATTTCTGTGCAGAAATTATTGCAGCAGTGTCTAA